GGGTGAAGTGTCTTGCCCAAGGACACAACGACCAAGACTGTCGGAACCGGGGCTCGAACCGGCAACCTTCTGATTACAAGACGAACTGCCAACTCTTGAGCCACGATCGCCCACATGTGTCTCACTAAACGTGTCATCATCATCCAAAGGTTTCATTTTTTATAAGTCAGCAACAGATGTACTAAAGTTAGCTGCAGGTCCTTTGTTGAATTCAGCTTTCAGCCTATCGGATACAGTACACTCTTCAGCTTTAGACATATTTTGTTTTTGAGTAGGTGTACTGATTATTTTAGTGTGAATCAGTACTCGTTAGTACCAACATAACTCGTTAATAGTGTGGTACCCATCCATAGTGTTGTCATGTTTCTGTTGTCTTGTTAGGCTTTAAAGTAGACATGTGCTGTTGCTTACACATTAGCAATGTGGAGCTAAAAGTTTGGGATAGTATAATTTTGGACTTGGACAATCTTTGCACCATTTTTTACTGTTTACCATTCGTTTTGATATCTGTCCCTTACTTGTTAGGCTGCGGTAGGCTAGATGTTGTTCGCAGCCAGCAGGCCAAACAGCTTTTTCTGGAAGAAACACTGAGTGCACGATAGTTGCAGTGAGTCACAGCTAGAGCCTGGCCAGGATAACAGTCAGTTGATTATATTGCAGCACATGTAGCCAAGTAACGTGTTCATTTGAAGTTGCCAGTTAGATTGTGAAATGCTGGAAAACTAATAAAAATGAACCCACGATTGTTTCTTTTCAGTGACATTTATATTCGTGCACTCCTTAAACGTCTGTGTCAGCACTGGTCTCAAGAATTTGCGATCTGTGCTCGATACAGTTGGTCAAATCACCTTTAGTTGGCGCTTCTTCGTCACGCGCCATAAAGGAACAGGAAGCTAGAAACCACATAAAGCTGAAAGAAATGTATTGGTTTTGCTAATTGAGATCAAAACACTACAATAACACAACATTTTACATTTTTATTAATATTTCTATTTTCTGTCTATTAGTCATTTCATACACGGACCAGTTTAGAAAAGATGAGTCCTGATCACATACTTCTGGATGGCACTATTGATGTGAAACAGTAGCCTTGACAGCACTGTGATGTGTTTGCCAGAAACAGTTTAGCACCTGTTGTGCTTTGAAGCTGGTTCCTGTTAAACTATCATGACCTGTTTCGCACATTGCTGGTAGATGACTTTGTAAATCCTGTCTGTATTTTGTTACTTTCATAAGGGTCAAGTTTACTGCAGTGGATGATGACTCAAACAGCCCCCACTTGTCTTCATTAGATGTCAACCCTTGACACGAA